GGTGCCATCCCTGGGCTGGTGGTCCTGGGGTCTATAAGAAAGCAGGCTGAGCAAGGCATGGGAGTGAGCCAGTAAGCAGCACCCCTCCATGGCCTCTGCATCAGCCCCTGCCTCCAGGTTCCTGCTGTGCTTGAGTTCCTCTCCTGACTTCTTTTGATGATGAACTGTTATGTGGAAGTGTAATCCAAATAAACCCTTTCCTCTCCAAGTCGCTGTGGCCCTGGTGTCTTATCACAGCAACAGTGAGCCTAAGATGCTGTTCTTGTCAAAAAAGTTATGTTGCTGGGATGGACAGATGGCTTAACTGTTAAAGGCTAGGCTCTCACACAAACAAACAAATAATGTTTCCCAGCTGGGCATGATGCACACTTGTAAACCCCATGAGTCAGGAGGCAGAGATGTGTTGCTGGAGATTCTTTGTCCCACCAGGTCCAGTCACCCTTCTCAGCCCCAAATAAACACACAGGTACTGTATTGATAATTAAACTGTTGGCTGATGACTTGGGCTTCTTACTGGCTAGCTCTGTCTTAATTATTAACCCATTTCTGTGGAGAGCTGCGCCACGCCGCGCCTTAAAGATGGCGCCAGCTTCTGCCTTATGTAAAACAAAAAGGGGGAACTGTGGAGAGCTGCGCCTTAAAGATGGCGCCGGCTTCAGCCTTCCACCATCCCGACGGTGAGTGCTCTCGGTAACAAACAACTCCTTATTTGGTGTGCTCCTATCCCACCGGGGTCACGCCATTGTCATCAGATTGCTTACACATGCTGGTGAGCCTATGGCTTGCGCACACGTGGCTGCTCAGGGTTGACTGGCCTTGGCTATTTAGGGAGCAGGAGGGGTTTCTCCCGCGGCTGCCTCCACGTTGTTCATAAAGGTCCTGAATAAACTGCTTGTGAGAAGGATTCCTGAGTTGCGTCTTCCTTGCTGGTCGAGGTGGTCGCGACACATTTCTTTGTATTTCCACATGGTCTTGGCTACCAGAGAATATCCAAACCCTACCTCTCCCAGAATTCTCCTCGTCTCCTAGTCCCGCCTATCTTCCTGCCTCATTGGCCAATCGATGTTTTATTCATCAACCAATAAGAGAAACACATCCACAGAAGGACATCCCCCGTCACTTTCTCACTGGCCCAAATGTTTTGGTTTTTTGTTTTGTTTTGTTTTTTGTTTTTGCTTGTTTGTTGTTGTATAAAGTGGCTAAGAAGTCCTCCTTGAGAGCACGTGTCTCAATACGTGGAATTCATTTCTGTTAAAGGTAAGATCCATCACAGGTTGAGAACCGGCTGGGGCCTTTTCCCTGACCACAGTTTCCCTGAACCGTGCTTTCTTATTTTTGGTTGTGAGCCTAGCCTTTAATGGCTGAGCCATCTCTCCAGCCCGAACCGTGCTTTCTGATCATGTATGTTGTCCCTTCTCCCTCCTGCAGGCAGCACCTGTCGGTAGTCATGAAACCGCGGTTTGTAGTCACAGTGAGAAAACTGATGACACATGATCCTTCCCATCAAGGGTTCCCACAGGCCCTGGTTGTTTTACGTTGGGGACACCCGCATTTACTCTTATGGGCTACTTGAGTTTTCGTGTGCTCCATTCCCCAGTAGACCCTGTAGCGTATGGCAGATCCTCGCTCTTTGCTTGGTGGAGAGTTAGTGCTGATCGCAGAAACTGTGACCTACACACGCAGATGGGCCATGAGTTCTTGACCACTATGAACCTTTATGCGTTTCCTCTGGCCTTATGTTGCTGCTTTTCATAACTGTCTTCACTTACTTTGGGTAACTCCTCAAATGATTACCAAACTGAGGTTGGTTCAAGAATAAATTTAGGCTAGTTTGGCATGCAGTTTAAGGCATTAATTTGGAGAGGATGTGGCTAATTGGACATGTTTAAGGCAGAGATGAATCATAACAGGTTAGATGCCATTCTTTTATAATTAGGGCAGTAAGGACTGTCATTAGCTGTTGACTGTCACTGGCCTTAGTCACAGCGTCCAAATTAAAGCAATGTAAGTATCCATCAGCAGAAGAATGGATAAACAAATTTCAGCATATGCCTATAATGAACTATTATACAGTCATAAAAGGGAATGAAATGCAGATACACGTTATGACATGGCTGAATGTTAAAAACATTTTAGTTAGTAGAATAAGCCGGATCCTAAAAAGTGATACTGCGTAATTCCATTTATATGCGATCTCTGGAGTAGACAGCTTCACAGAGACAGGTGGCAGAACAAAGTCACCAGGGGAGGAGGCAGGGAATGATCGAGCCGCTGATGGATAGCGGTAAGAGTTTCTGCTTAAGGTGGTCGAAGAGTTTTGTAAATAAATAGTAGCGATGGCACACAGCACTGTGAATGCCTACCATGCCACTGAGTTGTACACTCATTGTAAAATGATGAATTCCATATGATGCATTTTTTCCTACAATAAAAAAAGAGATAAAATTCTCATTCCTTTGTGACTTAGAAGTAGAAATTCCTGGTGACCTTCAACAACGCCTGGACCCTGTAAAGGTTAACATAGGGGTGGTTAGCCCAACAAGTTGTCCTACACCCTTCACACACAAATGCCTCCCCCACTAATATGCAAAGTGAAAGGAAAAATTGCCAAGTTGCTAGCCCTTTAACGGATCATCGGTTGTGATCTTTGAGTTTCTCTACCACGCATCCTAGGTTCCACACCATGTGGCTGGTTCTAGAGAATGCCACGCTTGGTTAAGGGGACGCAGCTACAGTGGGGTTACAGTTGGCGGAACATGAACGCAGAAGCAACACCGAGTAAATGGTAGAGACGAGCGGGAATACAGCGCAAGAGGCAAGACTTGACGGTAATTGTCGCGGTTCAGGAGTCTGCGTAGGCAGGCAGGAGAGAGAGACACAACTTCTGACTCTGGATGGCCAATGAGCAGAATAGGAGTGTGAGCAAGAGCCGAGAAAAACAGTTCACGTTGTGAGACAGAGCGTAGGGACAGAGGCCATGGCTTGGGGAAGGCAGGAAGTGCACTCCAGGGAAGCTTCCAGGGGAAGGACCTGCCTACAGGGCGGGGATGGGCGAGGACCTGCCCACTGGGCGGGGCAGGGCAAGGCCCAGGGAGGGAGTGAAGATGTGGGACGCAGCCCGCACCAAGCTCACAGAAACAGGGCATCTTGGGAATAAATACATCTTCCAATCTTAACACTTAATTAGCTCACCAGGACTTTGTTCCCAAGAAGTCAGCATCTAGCACGGAGATGTAAATTTAATACAAACATTTTTATAGCAAGAGTACTTAAAATAATAGAAAATTTTTGATTAACTTTAAATGTTCAATAACGTGGAAATCCATATTGTAAAGGAACATGTAGCTATTAAAAGTCTACTATGGTAGAGTTTGTAAAGGTATGTAAAAGGGTTTCCATTTTTTTATACAGAGTAGACAGTTCCTTGGCTAGGCAGTTCAGTCTAAACTTTTATTAGAAACAGTTTTTCTTTCTTGTTTTAAACTGTATTTTTATAGCCAGGCATGCTGGTACATGCCCTTGATCCCACAACTTAAGAGCTCTGTGCGTTCAAGGCCAGCCTGGTCTGCGAAGACAGTTCCAGGACAGCCAGGCCTATTACACAGAGAAACCCTGTCTCAAAAAACCAAAAAAAGAAAAATGTATTTTTATTTATGTGCCTGAGCTTTTACCTGCATGTAGGTATGTGCATGCCCATAGAGCCCAGAGGAATATATGGAATGTGCTGGAACTGGAGTTGTGGGTGCCGTGTGGATGTTAGGAACTGACCCCTAGTCTTCTGCAAGAACAGCCAGTGCTCCCAACTTTCGAATCACCTGTCCATCCCCTGGGTCCAGGGCTCATTCCTGGCTATGTGCCCAGGTGTGAGAACTACCTGTTGCTGCTCCCAGCATCCTCTACAGAGTTTTTTTTTTTTTTTTTTTGGTTTTTTTGAGACAGGGTTTCTCTATTGTTTTGGAGGCTGTCCTGGAACTAGCTCTGTAGACCAGGCTGGCCTCGAACTCACAGAGATCCGCCTGCCTCTGCCTCCCAAGTGCTGAGATTAAAGGCGTGCACCACCAACGCCCGGCCCTCTACAGAGTTTTAAACTCAGACTCTTGCTGAAGCAGCTCTCGCTTGCCCGATGAGACACCAATATTGAATACTCAGGGCTAGAAAGAGGTAGCGGTTTCATTCTCATTGTTGGATTAAGGGTTAGACCAAGCGTGGGGTGGCTTCTGTTCTGAGATCCAGAACCGCGATCCCGAGAAGGGTTTCCTGAAAGACAGCCGCCTCTCTTCCAGAGTTCTTCCTCTGGTCTGAAAGGGAGTCTTGAGTCCTTCAGCGGTGGACCTCCAGAAGCTGTCTGGCAAAGTCAGAGGAGGATTCGTTCTTGGTTTTCTTCAGTTTTCTTTGGGACCAAGAGGCCAAGACTGTGAACTTTGTTCCCCAGACTCCGCTCCCCCCACCCCCCATGGTAGCTAATCCTGGACTGAGGTTGGTGGACCTGCTTGGGCAGTTACTTATCTTGACCTCTGTTCCCTGGCTGCTATAGTTCAGAGCTTCCACACCCCACACCCCCACTCCTACCCCCATGTGAGAAAGGCCGATGCTCAGGGTGGGGCTCTTCCTAGGTAGCGGACCCTTTCAAGAGGCCGAGCTTATTAGGAGGTCTGCAGGCTTGCCCTTGAAGAAGGGATGGTAAGACCCCCGTCCCGGCTCCTGGGTCCCTTTCGCTTCCTTGCCATAAGCCCAGTGACTTTGCTTCACCACGCGTTCCTGTCACCAGCAAGCCTCGTGGGTTGGAACCTCTTAGAACTTCGAGCCAAAGCGAAACTTTGCTTCTCCGCGAATCACCTCGGGTGTTTGTTAGGATTAACGAAGGGTTGAGACCAACGCGGACAACTGAATTTTCAGCAGGAGCAGAGGCAGCTTTGGTCAGCCCCGCCTCCCCTGACCCTCCCCCCACACCCCAGGCGTCGGTGAGCCCTCCCTGTCAACCTGATAAGTAGCGTCACTTCCAGGTGCGTATACGAGGGAATTCCAGAGGAGTTCAACTGGAAAGCCCTGAAGACATCATCATCCCACGAGATGAATAAAAAGGGTACCAGGTGCCTCCTCCACCGTGAGGGACTGTGCCCTCGAACCGAGGACCAAAACAAACCTCCCCTTTCTTAAGTGTCTGGGTCAGGTATCATGTCACAGCAGCGAGGAAAGCAATGACCATGTTTCTTCTGTCCAGAATTTACAGGCTCTGAGGGGGCCTGGGCAATAATAAGGACGGCTTACTCTGTAGATGAGACAGCCTTGGTGAATGACTTGACCCAGGACCACACAGAGATCCACCGACTTTGTCTTTCTGGATTGTTTGTGATACAAACAGACACGTTCCTTCCAGACTCTTTGTAGAAACATTGGTACCATGAACAAATGGGTTTCAAAGTAGCGTGTGCACCATCTCTTAGAGCTGAATGGCTCAGTTTACCAAAAGCTCATCTCACTTGGGGATGGTGATGATAACGGACTCTGCACTTTGCTCTGCGTGTAGAACAACTGTGATGATATTGCAGTCTCTGGTGTCTTCAGGCTCCACTTTGAGGTCTCCTTGCAGAGCTGTTTTGATTGGCCAGACATGAGCCTTGCTTCCGGTCCGCTGTCAAGGCTCAAAGCCCCGGATGCGATGATTCGGCCCTAGATCCTCGTGCTTTGTCAGAGTGAGTACAGGATAAAAATGGCCTCTCAGAAGCATAAGAACACGAATCTTAAAATGCCCAGACTACAAACCCTTTCAAAAGAAAGTTTGTGCCCACTGGTGGTGGCGCAGGCCTTTAATCCTAGCACCCGGGAGGCAGAGACAAGTGGATCTCTGTGAGTTCAAGGCCAGTCTGGTCTACAGAACGAGTTCCAGAACAGCCAGGGCTCCAAAACTACAGAGAAACCCTGTCACTCCCCCGCCCCCCCCCCCAAAAAAAAAACAGAGAGAGAGAGAAAGAGAGAGAGTTTTCAATAATATGTGTGCCCCATCATGCTTCAGTTAACCAGATGGGCTGGGACATGGCTTTGTCTTCCGTTTTAATTTTGGATTCATATTAGACGCTTCTCATAGCACACATAGAGGGACCCTCACCTACCCTTCCTACGAATTCCACCGAGCTGGCCAGCAGATGACCAGTTTTCTTCCTGCTCCCATTTCCGAAAGTTAATAGTCTTGCTTTTATCCCTGCCTCCCTTTGGTATGCTCTCCCGAACCCCAGATATTCAAAGAATGAGAATTTTTAGACCTTGAAGGAAATTGGAGCTGCTACACTTTTTGATTGTCAGCTGGGGCCGAACGTTGGGTTACCAAGGAAACTGAATAACCTAATTTTTTTTTTTTTTTTTTTTTGTAGCATGGACTCAGAATTGCTCCCTGTGCATCTGGAGGAATAAGGTCGTAAGACCTAACCTCAGGTGTCATTGCAGAGTTCCAGAGCCGTCCTTATTTGCATCTTTGGAAATGCTTGCTGTTCATCTGGAACTAGACACAAGAGTTACTACTGCACCCCAATGCATTTCTGTCTACCCCTTAGTGTTTTTTGGAAATTTGCATCTTTGGAAATGCTTGCTGTTCATCTAGACACAAGAGTTACTACTGCACCCCAATGCATTTCTGTCTACCCCTTAGTGTTTGGGGCTAACAATGTGTCCATTTCAGTGTTTGACTTGGCCGCACAGAACCTGAAGGGGACCAGGGGGGGAGCATGAAGGATCTGGGTCAAAGGTCTGATAACCCCAAAGGAGAACAAAAAGAGTCCAAATACTGGGTATTCCAATGTTAAAACCGAAAGGTTGGGCTCTGGGTTTCTAGAACTAAGTGACAAATGAAGAAAGGGAGTCCCCAGAAGGCTGGCTTGTGACACAGAACTCGGGGGGAGTGACACAAGCCCCAAGGTTCAGAACTCAAGGGAGAGCTCTAAAAATGCAGGCCACAGGCTCTGTTCCTAAATGTATCCAAGGCTCTGCTCCCAAATGTATCCAAGCAACTGAGGTGGTCTTTAGAGAAACAGTCTCCCTGACTTCCCAAGCGTCTAGATTTCAGGTGCCTTGACAGACGCCTCCTGGTCTCTCAGGCCATGGACATCACATGGCACCAGGTGGCTTGTGAATAGGCTAATGCTGATAGGCCTTGAGAGGTTCTGTTTTCTTTTCAAAATTAAAAAAAACAAAGAGCTTGTAAGGGTGGGGTAGGTTTCCTCTGCTTTTTCCCTCAAGTGGGCATGGTGTTTATTGGTCCCTCCCTTTCCCTTCTGTCTTCCACCATGGGAGCATACAGTAAAACAAAGCTCGCTAGATGTCGGCACCTCGGGCTTGAGCTTGTAGCCTCCAGAATTTCGAGAGATGAGTTTCTAGCCTATCATCGTTTTGTATGTTTGTTTGTGGTTGTTGTTTTGCTGAGACAGGGTCTCCAATAGCCCAGGCTGGCCTAAAGCTCACTAGATAGTTGAAGATGACTTTGAACGTCTGACCTTTTTCCGCCTCTACCACACAAATGCCGGGCGGCATTGCAGGTGTGCGTGCACCCACGGGATCCAGCTTATGTGGTGCTGGAGATGGAACCCAAGGCTTCATGCAAGGCAAGCATCTTGCAAACTGAATTGTGTCTTCAGAGCCTGAATGTCTATGCTTAGTAAATTCCCCTCCCATGGTATTTTGCTGTAGCAACACAGTAGCTGACTGGTTAGATCCCCACCCATCCATCTTATTGCAACACTGTAGACACGGAGTACCTGTGTGAGTCATGTCTATATTTCCATGACACAAGGACCAGCCTAAAAGCAGTCCTTAGCAGCCGTCTTTCCACACCATCTATGCTTATGATTTCCCGGCATCCTTCAGACAGAAGGCAGATATTTCCAGTGGGAGAAGAATCACATCTACTAACTCACATTTTATCATGAGACTCGGGATAAGAGTGCCCGCGCTCAGAACTGCAACCTCCAGAGTGGCCTTGAGCATCTCATTCGGTGTCCCCCGAACCTGGTTTCCTTGAGTGCAGAATGGGAAATGCCGTTGTTCCTGCTTCATTTACCTCTCAGAGAGATCAGACTCATCTATGCCCTGACAACGGCTCAGCTGCCTCCCGCCTGACTCTCTCAGGAGCCAGATCTGCCTTCCAGGGACAGGCACAGGACCTGGTCCTTACTAAGTAGAGGCACGGGTTGGGTTAATCCACTTTGAGGGAGACGGGAGCATGTGGGCCTCAGCATGTTGTGGTCTTGTTCTCTGGCTGCTCTTTTAGGGCTCTTTATTCTGAACTGATTTTTTTTTTTTACTGCCCTGAAAATCTGGAGTGTTCTCTCCCTTCCTCTGGTTGCTATTGAGACCGGAACTACTTGCAAGAGCAGCTGTGCAATCCATCAGGCGCTGCAGGTTGGCTGGAGATGTGAGCCCACTCCAAACGGCACCAGGTTCCGGTGGGGGTGTAATAACTCCATGTTCACACATTGCAGGCATTGTTCTAAGCTTGCCCCAAAGCGTTTGCTCAACCCAGCTGCCCTGAATTCTGCACCAACCAGCTGGGCAAATTGCCCATCCCTAGGCCACACTCCTTCCAGAGCTGGTTTGCTGAGTAATCCTCACAGGGTTTTCTGGGGCGGGGCTACCTCTAGACAGAGGCATCTGGGGCGGGGCTATCTTTAGACAGAGGCATCTGGGGCGGGGCTACCTGTAGACGAAGGCATCATCTGATAAAAAACCAGAAGGATTTTGTTATTGCTAATTAAAACTTGGTTTTCTTTTCTTTTTTTTTTTTTTGGTTTTTCGAGACAGGGTTTCTCTGTATTGTTTTGGAGCCTGTCCTGGAACTCACTCGGTAGACCAGGCTGGTCTCGAACCCACAGTGATCCGCCTGTCTCTGCCTCCCAAGTGCTGGGATTAAAGGCGTGCGCCACCAACGCCCGGCTAAAACTTGGTTTTCTTTGATATAAAATTTGTATATACTCCTAGGTGTTAAGTGTGACTCCCCAGTCAGGACATAGAACATTTCTGTCAGCCCACAGACTTACCCTCTGTCTCTTGCCTTTGAATCCTGCTCTGTCTAGCAGGCAGTAACAGTCCTGGTTCCAATCATATTAGACAAGTTAGCTTTTGCTAGAGTTTCGTATAGATGAAAATGTGAACCATGCACTTTTGTGTGTGTGTGGTTTTTTTTAAAAGGTTTGTTTATTTTTGTATGTGGTGAGATATAACACACACACACATAGAGAGAGAGAGAGAGAGAGAGAGAGAGAGAGAGAGAGAGAGAGAGAAGAGAGAGAGAGAGCACACATCAGCCATAAGCATCTATGGCTTTCAAGCAGGGTCATTGGATCCCTTAGAATGGGAGTTATAGGTTTTATTTTTTTATATGCACTGGGACCTGAACTCGGATCCTCATTGAGCAGTAAACATTCCTAGCAGCTGAGCCACCTCTCCAGGTCCTGTACCCCGAGTTCTCCTTTCTGTCCTCATTGCTGCATAAATCCATAGTGCATTATTTTACTTTTCCATTGCTGAGTCATTTCCCATCCCACGAAATACATCAGTTATTTCTGCCCCGCTGAAGGAGACATTTAGGTGTGTTTTTTTTCTTTATTTTTTCTTCTATCATAAGCAGGGCTGTAATGAGGATTTACATAAAAAGCAATGAGGGCCTGTTTTACCCAGCCTGGCTGGACTCAGTGTGTCATGCGGCAGGAAAACGTTTAGCTCCGTAAGACACAGTCAGTCCTTTGCTCACAGTGGTCTCATCTCACATTCCCCCAGCTGTGTGTGAAGCATATTCTCACTTACACCTGCCTTCCTGGCTCTCGGTGGGAATGATGCCCTGGTCTCTCGTGGGGTCTGTGCAATCTTACTGGGGTATCTGTTTGCTACACAAAACTCTAGGTGAGACATAGGAGAGCAATGGGGGGGCTTTGGTAGCATTGGGGGTCTCTGACACCACATCCTCTATATCCACAACATCCATCATCCATTCTTCATCCCTCACCAAGTTCTGCTGATCTTCCATTTTCAGAATTATCGCTGTCTGTTAGTGTCCTGGCAGTTTCTATTTTGGATCTGAATCCCTGAATCTAGGACAAAGTTAAATGCCTGTTCCAAAGGAGGTCCTTGCGAGCAAACAGTATCAAAGGGACGCTTCTGCCTCTCTCTCCCTTCAGCTCTGCCCGCCGGCCTTCCCCAGGAATAGTTTTTCCGAAGTGTGCAACTTCATTTATTTGGTTTTTTAGTATTTATTTTTATTGTATGTGCATTGGTGTCAAGCTTGCATGAGTGTCTGTGTGAGGGTGTCAGATCCCTTGGAGCTGGAGTTACAGACAGTTGTGAGCCACCACAACTGGGAATTGAACCGGGTTCCTCTGGAAGAGCAGCCAGGGCTCTTAACCACTGAGCTGTCTGTCTTTGATCAGACACAGAGTCTTTTCCACCATTTGGAACAGAAAGAACTTTGGGTAATAAAGAAGATGCCCCAGGATCATAGAACATGATTCACTGACCACCACTGTGGTAAGGATGTCAGTAAAGTTCTGGGACCAAATGGTGTACTTGACTTTCCCCTGCAACCTTGGCTCCTGGGAGCTCTCCAGGGTTCTGGACTTCCGCCTGGAATTATCTCTTCTGACACATAGTAGTGTTTCAGTCTGTATTCCTAACCATCACCTTTACCTGTTGAGCCCTGTTGTTCCGAGGCAAGCTTACTACTCCAACCCAAACCCAGATGGGCATATCTTGCAACTTGCTTTGGCCAACAGAATGTCCTACAATTGACAAACAGATGCCCATTTAGGCCTGAACTCCCAGAGGCCTGCAGTCCCCACTTTTTCAGAACTGTTCCATGAGAAAGAGATAGTAGATTACCCATGGAGAAAGAAGGGACTACGAGAGGAGATGCCTCTTGCCCTTGGAAATCAATCTTTATTCCCTTGTTTGGGGTTAGCTAGAAGACGGAGACCTCTGGCCGTGCACTTGTTTGGTGGCACACTAGAAGGACTTTCAGGTCTCAGGAACTGTGGTCATGGCCATGGCTTAGTGCAGGAAGAGGATGAGTAGGAGCCTCTCTAAGCATTGCAGCTGTATGGAAAGGGACCCTGTCAGTGGGAAGCCAAGGAATCCACAAGGTCACAATAAGTATAGCTGCTTATAGTCCTGCTCCAGGGAAAGGTTTCCCTAATGTAACAAGTCTGCTCAGACAGGGGAGGTTTTCCCAGCTAAAATGTTACAATTCTGCCTGGTCCCCTGGAGTGTAACAACTCTGATTCCCCCAGGGGAATGTTTCCCAGCGAAAATGTTAACAGCTCTTCTGCTCGGCTTTGCTCAGCTCTGTTTCATATTGTTACTTCTCTGCTCTGGTGAAAGAAAGGTCTCACCCAAACCTCATTCAAGAGGTCTATTGGGAGGGAAGAATCGAGGAGGGTGGCTGCCTCTTCCCCTGGTGGAAAAGACAGCAGCCAACTGAACAAGATTTCTTAAGGGGCAGAGTTTTTCCAGGGTGGGAATTGGAATCTGGTTAGGATCATGCAGTGTGCTATCAGAATTAAACAGGCTTGTAAGGCATTCTCTCGAAAGAAGAAATACTTAAAAACACTTCTCTCTTAGATGGGGAAGAGCTAGTGACAGTCACCCAAG